TCTTTTGGTTTTTATCGAGAATTCAGCAGTAACGTTTTCACCTGGAGAACGGTGAGAATGTGGAAATCACCATTCCAAAGGGTCAATGGTGTAGATAGTAAAGGTGCATTCAAAGGAAAGCTACATAAGAACACAAGGGGAAAGGTACAGGCCATAGGGACTAGTTCAGTTTAGGAAACTTGGTCAGCATGGATGAGTTGGGCCGAAGGGCCTGTTTCCACACTGTATGACTGACTCTGATTCTATACTTGGATATGCTGATTGTGAGAGATGAAGAGGGGTGGAGGATATGAACACCAGCATGGACTGTATGGTGGTTATAGGAGGTTATTACTTTGCTGTGTACACAGCCAGAGCTGTCTTCTCTTGTTTGGAATTCCTCATTCTTGCTGGAGTTCGGCTGCACAGACACAACCAACTGTCAGGGCCTCACCAAAGTGTAAGCAGCTTCCTGTGAACGGAACCGCACTCTCAACCATGGTCCATACGCATACATTCCAACAGGGATCGTTGCTTGGCAAACCCTTGTAAGCTGACTTAGCCACCCTGCTCCCATCAGCACCCCATCCAGCCAAGGCTGGTCCAGGTGAACTGAGGTAAGTATGTACTTTTCCAGTTTCCAATGTCAAACATGGGCAGCGAATCAGCAACATCGCCACAAGTAATAATGGCCTAGATTGTTTACAAAGCTGACGAGCATTTGTATAAACACAGGCTATCGGTGTTCTTGGCGGACTATCAGAACACTCTGTTCATATTGTTAATTTCTGAAACCTGGACATAGTAATCAAGGCAGGTAAGGGTCTCCTGCTAAGTCTGGAGCAGCCTCAGCCCCTCCCCTATTAACAGGTACAAGGTTCTTGGGGGTGGGGGGTACCTGTGTGCAGGATGGCAAACTTTACACAGTGGATCAGAAAATGGATCAAGACACCTCGGTAGGGAGGTCAGGGGCTGAGGGGTTGTGGAGAGCAGGACGTTTTTGTGGTAGGCGATAGATTTGATATAGTCAGATTGATAAATAACTATGCTATACAGCTGTGACCAGGGGTTCTAAAGATAGTGCTGCCTGTTCAGGACAGGGGTTCAGGACATCTCCTTGTGGCTGGAGAACTGGGATTGGGAAGGGAAGGATCCAGTTAGTGTTAACAACTTAGTTACAATGAAGAAAGAGGTTCTGCTGAGAGAATTTAAGAAGCAAATAAAATGCAAAACCTCAAAGATAGTAATCACTCTGTCACAATGTGAGCCATGTGTAAATTGGCTAAGAGTGAGAGATGTGAATGTCTCTAGCAGTGGTAAGGGAGGCAAGAGTTTCAATCACTGGGAATAGGCACAAGGAAGTGGATTCAACTTACAGCAGAGTGGGACTAGTATCCAGGTGAGCCAAATAACCAGAGGTTTAAACTGAAATGGCTGGGAGCAGTCAGGAGGGGAAAATAAATGAATTGAGAGAGAATCAAGGGCACAGAGCAGTATAACAAGTTAGGCAAGATAAACAGAGCACAACAGGAATAGACAGAAAGTTTAACTGTAAGAGCACAACAGCTGACAAGGTCAAATTAAGGAAAAGTAGTGAAGAGTGTAAACTTAAGATTAATGACCTGAAACATTAACCCTGATTCTCTGTCCACAGATAAAGTGTGCCAGTATTTTCTATTCTAATTTCAGAATTCTAGCATCCCCAGTAATTGCTGTTGTAAAAGGAAAACAACAATCGAGGAGATAATGGCTTAGTGGTATTATCACTGAACTGTTAATCCAGAGATGCAGGTAATTTTTTTTCATTCATCTATGGGATGTGGGCGTCTCTAGCTGGCCAGCATTTATTGCCTGTCCCTAGTTGCCCTTGAGAAGGTGGGGCTGACCTGCCTTCTTAAACCACTCCAGTATACCTGCTGTGGGTTGACCCAAAATGCCATTAGGGAGGGAATTCCAGGATTCTGACCCAGCGACAGTGAAGGAACGGCGATATATTTCCAAGTCAGGATGGTGAGTGGCTTGGAGGGGACCTTGAAGGTGGTAGTGTTCCCATATATCTACTGCCCTTGTCCTTCTGGATGGAAGTGGTCATGGGTTTGGAAGGTGCTGTCTGAGGATCTCTGCTCAGTTTCTGCAGTGCATCTTGCAGGATGTCTGACACTCCTGTTCTGGAGACCCAGGTTTGAATCCTGCCATGGCAGGGGGTGGAATTTGAATTACATTTTTTAAAAATCTGGAATCAAGAGTCGAATGTCGATTGTCAGAAAAACCCACTTGGTTCACTAATGTCCTTTAAGGAAAGAAACTGCCATCCTTACCTGGTCTGGCCTACTTGTGACTCCAGACCCACAGCAATGTGGCTGACTCTAAAGTGCCCTCTGGGCAATTATAGATGCACAATAAATGCTGCCTGGCCAGCGGCACCCTCAACCCGTGAATGAATTAAAGAATTTTTAAGAAGTCAAATAAATATGATACAAAGCACTAAGATCCCAGTTTCTATAGTCAATTTGTGTTGTCAGGTGATTTCAGTTTAGACATCTTGTTTGTTGGATATGGTCACAGTGTGTGCATGGGAAGGCCTAGGTTCTTGATCACATATACTACTCACTCACCCTGCTGGCAATTGTAATAAGGTCAGCCAGGTCGCCCTCATAGAATATGAGTTCCCTGATTGGGGCTGTTAAGCTGGTCCAAACAGAGAGCCCTGGCTGACAGGAGTGTCAGACATCCTGTTCACTCTGAGAGCTGGCTGTGAAGGAGCTGAATCAGTGTCGAGGACTCTCCATGTGTAAATAAAGGGTGGCTTGGTGATGGGATACCAGCCTTTGTGCAGTTATTTCAGAAACTATGGGCTGAATGGCGTCCTCTTTCATTGAAAGTTCTGTGATTCTGTGATGTGTTGAAGGGAGATATAAACACACGCACACACTAACTCTCTCTCACACATACACAGACTCAGACACACACACACACACACACACACAGAGACAGACACAGGCACAGGCACTGGCACAGACACGGACACAGACACAGACACCTCTTTATAATGTGTGAAGAATGCCTACATGAGTGAGATACTGGGCTGCTGTCTAACACTTGAGGAACTTAACCCAATGAGTCTCAACCCCTCTGTTGGGGGAGGGTGGTCTGTTCACAGAAAAACAATTGAGGGCAGTGGTGCAGTTGTAAAGGTTCTTCAACTGAGAGATATGGGATGCGGACTTACGTGAGTCAGTGTAGGTATACTGCAGCCAACAATTCTGGGACTCTGTACAAGAAGAATTCTATCAGCAAAGGAAATGATATCAGCAGATAGCACTGCTGTCAGACTGTAACAGCTCAGCCAAGTCCGAGCTACTCTGTCCAACACTTCTCCTTTTGAACAGTTTCAAATCAGCCAAGTAATGAAAGAAACAGATGAGAAACTGGCACTGAGCAAGCAGAGAGCTACTCGTACTTTCTAATTGAAGAGACAAAAAGAAAATTTCAGACCTGGAAATCATATTCTACCCTTCCTGTTTTTTTGTAGAATCAGACATTGAGAATGACTCATTTTTGGAGTTAAAAATATTTTCTCCATTCTTTTTTTCCTCCTCGAGGTGTCCAGAGGCATTACTGACCCAAGTTAGCTCATTTCATCGTTATTGTCGTCTTTCTTACCCTGCCTGCACCTTTGAAATGATTGACAACACTAGCCTCCAACTTTGGAGAACTGCCCTTATTTATCATGGCTACGACTAGGAGTCGGGACGTCATGTTGAGGCTGTACAGGACGTTGGTGAGGTCTTTTCTGGAGTATTGTGTCCAGTTCTAGTCACCCTGTTATAGAAAGGATATTATTAAGTTGGAGAGAGTTCAGGAGAGATTTACCAGGATGATGCCAGGATTGGAGGGTTCAAGTTATAAGGAGAGGCTGGATAGG